CACAATTTGAGTTGAATTACTGAAATAAATGAACTTTTCCATGACATTCTAATTTATTGAGATGCACCTGTATATGATATCATGATATAATTTTTCCTCAATAATGGTGATATGATTTTTAAACATTTCCGATATTGCAATATACATTACCAGTGTTTGCCATACTGTAACGGGGCTGACGAGATGCGAGACGTGCGGATCCATTCGCAAAGCTTTTATTGTGGAGAAGACAGAGACGAACCGGAGAAAACAGACACTAAGGCTAAGGCTAAGGCTAAGGCTAAGGCTAAGGCTAAGGCTCGACTGAGGGCTCTGTAGTATAGCTATCGCTAGGGGAGTGATAATCGCTGAACAATACTCGGCAGAGGGAAGGGATCAGAGTGAGTGTTAAATAGTGAGGGAGTGATATGAAACAGCTGGGTGCAATCAGTGTTAACAGCTGTGTGCAATCCGTGCTGAGTGCAATCAGTGCAATGAATGATGGGATATGTAGTCCGGGGTGATGTGCAACAGTGTGTAGTGTGAGAGTCAATGAAATTGGAAAGGGTGACCTCTGATGGCTAACAGAAGGAAGTTCATGGACCGGATTCGTGACACATACATTGACTTATTTGTGGTGGTTGACTTCGTTGAATAAACAGATCACTGCATGTTTCAAAATAAAAATGTGGCACGGGTGTTTTATATGAATGTATCTTTGAAGGGAAACGTCTGTCTTCAGAAAAGTTTCGATGTAATTTTCACTTTATCTGAAGCGTTTATGAGTGGAGAGCTGCTTTGTGTACAGCCATTACTGGGGAAACCTCTGTTTCTGCCGCTCCAAAAGCGCCTCGTGCTGGCAGAGAATGAATTTGCATTTTCAAGAAGCCCGTCTCCAGCAACTTGTGTTTTTGTTGTTGCTCACTCTTTTTTCTGATTTCTGCAGCAACTCTGAGCACTTCTCATATTCTTTATCCTGGCTGAAGCATTTTTGTTTCAATCTATAAGAATAATCATCCTATGTTATAGTTTAAAGTTAAACATATTAATATTAATAAGGTGAGTCTGAGAGTCTTATGTTTATTTGATGGGGATTTCACATTTGTTTGTATGAAGGCTAAATACAAATAAAAGGTGAACATTACTTGTAACGTTTTTATTTCTAAAATATTATATAGTTTTATAGGATGAGGTTTCATTGACTTTCATTTTGCAAATTCATTTTTCAGAGGTTTGTAGGTACAGACATCTGTTCTGGGCATTCTTGGCAGTTTTTCTGAGGCTTTTTTTTATATTGTTCATATTGATATTGGGATAATATTGTATCGACCAAAATTAAGAAATATATTGTGATATATCCAGCCCTAGTTCAGCTTTATATGTTCGAATTGGAATCAGACAATGAAGGAGAGACTCTAGAAGAAGCAACTTTACCGATTTTTTTCCGGGACATTTCCTTGAAAATGAAATTTAACCACTGTGTCCTCCCTCAGATGGAGGGAGTCTATGGAGACTCATTCGTTGGTGCATCCCAAAACACAACACTTGTAATGCCTCTTTGGTGCTGACATTGTATATCTCCAGCAGCTACAGCAAGAAAACAGTAATGGCGGACTGCTGCTTCTCACTCAGGGCTGTGTCTATGCTAAAAGGGCAGAGATCATCACAAATGAGCGGGATTTCTCCCTATGATGATGTGTACGTAGGGAGAAATCTGGAACCACATGTTTGGACAGACTGTTTATGATTTATTGGGATTATAAAAGAATGAGTGGGTGGATTTTTACCATTATAGGCTGGTTGTTTTCACACACTGCAGCCACACAACTGTGTTCAAACACCTTATAAAAGTAATTTATGCATAGTAGGTCCCCTTTAAATATGGATATTTTTTTCTTACAAAAACACATTGATTCACTTCAGGAGGCCTTTATTAACCCCCTGGAGCCAAGTGGAGCACTTTTTGAATATCACCCATTCACTGCCATTATAAAGCCTGGAAGAGCCAGGACATATTTTTTTATATAACATAACATTGTATTCGTCTGAAAGAAGAAAGTATTATACACCTATGGCTTGAGAGTGAATAAATTATGGGGTAATTTTCATTTTTGAGTGAACTATCCCTCTTTAAGACACTGTCTTCACATAGTGGCTATGTTTATGCATCTGGCCCCAGTTCAGTAAACTTTCACAGAGGTTAACAAAAGTAGACAACCATTAAATTTCAGTCTCTTGATTTTGATTAAATACATTTTTTTATACAGACAGTTTTAACGTATTGAAGTCTGTGCACAAATAAAGTAAAGAAATGGCAAAATTATATTTAAGGATGATTTTAATTACATTTTAATGAATGTTGGAACCGTCCACTCTTTTGGGGTCAGTTGCAACATTTGACTTTGTCTATTCAATAATAAATTGTATTATGAAATTTACATGTTACAGGAGTATGGGTGAGTAGCGGACAGATGTGGCCTATTAAAATTTTGGCTTTCTAATACAAACAGTCTCTAAGAAATTGAAAGAATTGTGAAAAAGAGTTTTGCAACCGTCCAAGCTCTCCTACAGTATATAGCACACTAGCACACTTCCAATGGGACAGTCACAGAAGGGCACTCTAAATTAGAAATGCTTAAAGCAAGCAGCTTTCAAATTCAAATGAACAAACAACAAAAGCAAAGTAAAGTAATAATGTAAATGTAATGTAAAAAAATCACATAACTATACCTGGTTCTCATGTTGCAGGCAGTAGAATCATATGAAAACCTCTTGTTTTTCTTCTCGGACTCTGTCGTAATTTGAGAGGATGGCAGCGGACGGATGCCAGCCTGCCTGCAAAGACTGTGACGTACGAGTTATTTTGAAACTTGACGGGAGAACAGGGTTAAGTTAGTGAGTGACATGACATGTGGCCAAGTATGGTGACCCATACTCGGAATTAGTGCTCTGCATTTATCCCATTCAAAATGCACACACACACAGCAGTGAACACACACACACCGTGAACACACACCCGGAGCAGTGGGCAGCGTGGAGGAGAGTGCTGTACTTCCCCCCCCCCCCCCTACAATCCCTGCCGGTATGAACCCGCAACCTTTGGGTTACGAGTCCGACTCTCTAACCATTAGGCCACGACTTCCCCAGGTTTTCACAACAAAAAACTATCCAATTGCTACTCAAAACTAGCCCAATCGCGTTTCGAGGGGGGTCCCCCGATAAAAATTGGATAAATAAAATAAACATTTTTTGGCGGGTTCCCCTGGTAAAATTAACATTTTAGGGGCTAAATATCACTTATTGGGGTTGCTTCAAACCGCGGACAGGGTCCCCCGATAAAAATTGGATAAATAAAATAAACATTTTTTGGTGGGTTCCCCTGGTAAAATTAACATTTTAGGGGCTAAATATCACTTATTGGGGTTGCTTCAAACCGCGGACATTGCAGGTCGATCGTTGTGTGACATTCATGAGAGCTATAGAGAGCAGAGCTTTGGTGTCTTTTTTGATTGGTGCACAGCGATGCTTCAAGTCAAACGAACGAACAAACATTTGCGCATATTTGCATCGCTTTGATCGTTCCCTGTAGATCTCGTCTTCTCACACGCATCCCCACGATTGGCCGATATTATGTACAATACCTGCATGTTATTGGTCAAACTGCTTTTAATGTTTTAGGCAATATTAAAATCCTGGCCGGGGCGTGTCCCGTCTGAACGGTGCATATGGCCACCCTAATTAATGGAGGTATAATCTACCAAATGTAATTAATTAATGATCATTGTTATGTCGTGGGTTCGTGCAGTGAGATTAAACACACAGGAGAGCTGTCAGACATCCATGCATTTTTAACACACCCAATTATTGAACACGCCCTCTTAAACACATACCATTCAACTGGTATGCTACAATCATTAAATATTAAGTGTCTGTATAATGTTTTTTTTTTTAATCACTTTGCACATCAGACGAAAACTCGCATGTATGTGTGCTATCAGGGACTGGATGCTCAGAAATTAATTGCAACATTTTATTAAGTCTTGATTGTCTCAATTCAGGGTTTTTTCCCCCTCACTCACCATGTTTATTTCTATAAACTATCCGTCTAACCCTTTAGATTTATATTATGCAATTTCTCCACCCAGTTACTCATGAAATGTAGATGATAGGTGGAAAAAAAATGATCAGAGCTGACTTCCTGTGCTTGGCGTGGTTGAATTTTTTTCTCTCTTTGCTGTGTACTAGCATTCAGTGCTGTCTGGGAGGGACCCCGGTTTCATATCAAGTGCTTTATTTGCAGCTACAACATGAGGATTTTGCAGTTTCATCTCTGTGAGTATTACAACTTTTAATATGCTTTCTGAACTTTATTTCAGTCAAAAGTTTAGACACACTAGATTTCTCCTGATAGTTTTAATGTTGCATAGAAACATATAAAAAATAGGTAGACCAATTTATTGTTTTCAAATGGACTGGATAATAAAAGAAAAGCAGCCAACAAAATGTTTGTAAAAAAATTTTTTTGTGAAGATTTAATCTGAATCTTTGATTTTTTTTCTTGTAGGTCTACTTATATGGTGTCAAGCAGCAGAGACTTTAACAGATCAGCTAATAAATTTGGGGCAAAATGTGACCATAAACTGTGATCTTACAAATGAGGTTTATTGGTTTTTACTGAATCTTCCATTTTCTTTAGTTATGATATTACGCTCATTCTCAACCCCAACTCCTTTTTACTATAATGCAAGTTACGAACAAAAATATTCAGTGACCTCTAAACAGCTGTTCATTAATAATGTCACTACGGATGAGTTAGGAGTTTATTTCTGTATGAGCTCAGATGGAAATCCACATTTCAGCAACGGCACCAGACTGTACATCATTGGTAAGTGCACTATTGCTAATTAAGCTGTTCAGTACATTGATTATTTAGAGATTATTAACCGATTGGGACTTTATTCCTTTCTTACAGAACCAGCTCCACCAACTGAGTGTCAGAATTATACAGTAGTGCAGTATATTCAGCAGAATCATACATCGGTGAAGTACACTGAGCAGAAGCAGACGTCATGGCAGACTCTTACCCTCATATCTGGCCTGATAAATGCTGTTTTAGTCATTGTTGTCATAGGTGAGTTTTCATTAGTGTAAAAAATGAAGCAACTCAGCATTCCTTCATTACTAGTTCTAAAGTGACGTTTTGGAATTAGTAACAGAGGCTTGGGCTCAGCTGTTAAACTGTCAAGTTTAGATTTGAATCCATGGCGGAAGGAAGTAGTTCACACAAAAGAGAGTTTTTAAAGACACTCCGTTGTTGTTTCTTATGTATTTACACACTTGTGCCATCGAACTGTTGTATAAACACAATATCACACAA